ACTTTCAGCCACCAAGTCTGTGGTAATTTGCTTGAGAAGCCACAGGAAATGAGCAGAGCTGGGGACCATGGACAGAGCTGGGAATCAGAGGTCCTAGGAGGCTGTTGGGACTCGAGCCCTGAGGAAGTGGGCTGGAGTGGGAACGGGTGAGCAGGTGGGGTGGTCAGGACCAAGGGCACTGGAGCCAGGGGGCTTGGGTTCGAATCTTGGCCCTGCCGCTCCCTGACTTTAGTGTGGATAACGGGAGCAGCGATCTAGTTCGGTGATTATGAATATTCAACAAGCTTATGCAGGAAGTGAAGTTAAAATGGAACCTTGCAAGTGAGGAGGGTGAGAAGGAAGCAGAGGGTGTGGCCATGGGTGTGAGGGTCCAGGGGGGTGGATGGAGAGCCCAGGCGGAGGACGAGGTCACTGAACGAGGAGTCAGGAGTAGGTGTGGAAGGGGCCAGTGAGCCAGGCTCACACGCTCAGAGAGGAAGTGGCCGCAAAGTGACCGAGGCCACTGGGGATGCAGTTCACGGGGGAGTGGGTGCTTCTAGTCGGACATTGGGAGCTTCCGAGGGTTTTGAGGTGGGAGAGAAACCCTGGAAGAGCAGATGAGGAAGGAGGAGAACCTCACCCATCTGGTGCAGTGCTTAGGGGCACGGGAGGCAGGAGCCCCCATTCGAGCAGGTTCGGGGAAGCCGAGCTCTCAGAGGAGCTAGGTGGGATCACCTTCAAGTAGCCCAACGTGGGGTCAACCAAGAGGCTCTCAGTTAACGGCCCAGGCATCCTGCTCTTTCCCAAGTTGATTTCTAAAAGCATCCCGTTTTTTTCTACGCTGCAGCCAAGGAGCCCAGGGAGTTGGCTGAGGGCAGAGCCTGTGCTCTGAGGGCCCCATGAGACCACGGGCTCGGCTCAGGGCAGGAGGCAGCCATGGCCCTGACCCTCGGGGCCTCTGTCCCAACCTGAACTGGCCTCCTGTGGCAGAGAGGTGTTCCAGTGCCCTCCCCAGACAGGACTGTGGAGGTGGGAAGGTGCTGGACCCAATCAGGAGTGAGGCGACCGGCCACCGCAGGGCATCCCTGAGCCTGGATCCTAGCTCCAGCCCCCCCGCATGTTCCCTGGGCTGCACAGGCTGTCCCGTGTGGCACTTGCTGCCCCCGTGGGAGCCTCCTCACCGCAGTGCAGCCTCCACGCCCAGCAAGTGCTGGTAGATGAGCTGGGCCTCAAGGTCATGGTCAAGAGGGTCATTCCACTCCTGCAGGGTCACCCGCGACCCAGTCTTATCGCAGCCTCGATCTGGAGACAGAAAGAGGGCAGAGTTCTGAGCCGCCACAATAGAACCTACACGTCCCACTTCCTGGTAGTACACACGTGGGAAAACTGAGGCCTGGAGAGGAAGAGGGGTAGACTCTTCCTCAGGAGTCCCCAGTGCAGGGCTGGGCCAGGCCCATAGCCTGGCAAGTCTCACCCAGGCCTGCCCGTGGCTCTTTACCCTTCTGGGGACAGAAGCTCGTCTTGGGCTCAGCTCCTGAGCCACAGGGTATGTGACTGCAGAGCATGGGAGCTGTATGGGGTACAACTTGGGGAGCTGGGTGACATTCTAGAAGGAACAGGGGGTAGTCTGGGATGGTAAGGCGGTGAGGTGGACCATAGGGGATTCGTGCCTTGGAATGAGCTGGCCCTGCCACCGGCTGACTTTATGACCGTGGTAGAGTCGTTCGCCTTTTCTAACCCTCAATCTCTCCCCCATAAAATGTAATAACAGGCCCCACCTGTTATCAGGCCAGGGTTGGCCCCCCTTTATCAATAATGGGGCTATACTGTGATGCCGACAGCCCAGTCAGCCGGCAATGCCCCTTGGAAAGAGCCACCAAAGGCCACTGATCCCCACCCACTGCTCAACCACAGGTCAGACAGGGCTGGGCCAGAGTGGGTGGGTCAGGCTCTGATGGCCTCTGCCATACTGGGCTCATTTGTTGATTTTTTGTAGACACGAGGCCTCCCCTCATTGCCCAGGCTGGTGGTCTTGAACCCCTGGGCTCAGCCAATCCTCTTGCCTCCACCTCCCAAAGTGCTGGGATTGCAGGCGTGAGCCACCGTGCCTGGCCACTGGCCGTATTTCAAGTGCTCAAGAGCCACAGGTGCTGGTGGCTGGAGTACTGGACAGTGTAGATATCACTTTGTCATTGAGATGTTTCCATTGTCACCAAAGGTCCTTCTAGAAGCTTCTCTGTGCTGTTCCTCCAGTGTCCGAGGCCCCAAGTCCCACCAACCCTTAGCTCCAATATCAAGTTGCCAGGATGTGCAAACATGGGGGCTCTCTTTGGCCCTAATTAGCAGGGAATTCCTCAAGTGTGTTCCTCAGAACACTGGTTCTATAGGAAGACCTTGGGTAAGAGAAGAGTGCCTTAGGGTTCCCTGTCAAATGAGTTTGGGAAATGCTGGGTTAAACAGCATTAGAAATGGGATTCTAGCTGGGTGCGATGGCTCACGCCTATAATCCCAGCACTTTGGGAAGTTGAGGCGAGAGGACTGCCTGAGCCCAGGGGTTCAAGACCAGCCTGGGCAATGAGGTGAGACCTCGTCTCTGCAATAAATAAAAAAATTAGCCAGGCATGGTGGCACACACCTGTCATTCCAGCTACTTGGAAGGCTGAGGTGGAAGGATTGCCTGAGCCCAGAAGGTCGAGGCTGCGGTGGCCGTGAATGTGCCATGGCACTGCAGCCTGGGTGACAGTGAGACTCTGACTCAAAAAAAAAAGAAAAAAGAAATAGGATTCTAATGAGTTTTCAGGCCTCCTTGGAGTGTTCAACTGTTTCACTCACATGCATCACACACATCACGTGACACCTCCCCAGCTGCCCAGTCAGGAACCCCTTTTGCCCAGAGCTCCTGGTGGTGGGGACGGGGTGGGGGTGCTGGCTTTCGTCAGGTGTGTTCCCCACAGGTGCACAGGCAGAGCTCAGGGCCCCATCCTGTAGCCAGAGGCCTGAGCCTGCCGTGGACAGATGCAGAGCCTGGGGCCCGGGCCTGCACGCCCACCTGTCTTGTCCTTCTGGTGGCAGCAGCTCCACTTGTCCCCACGGAAGACGCCGGGGTGGTAGGAGCCCAGCAGACCAGTGTTGTTGATGCTCACCTTCCGCAGCGCAGACAGCCACTGGTTCAGCTCGTTCACACACTGCAGGGGATGTGGAAGGGGTGACCCATTCAGAAGTCACCTCCTCCGGGAAGCCCTCCCTTCCCGGAGCCCCTGCACCACTCTGGGTGCCACGTTCCCCGCCATTCACTCGGCAGCTCGAGTGAATTGGGAGAGGCTCCATTTCCTCTAGAGGGAAGCAGCCCACACCCGGGCACATGGCCCACTGGGTAGAGTGAATGCTGGATCTCAGCCACGCCTGTGGGTATTCCAGAGCCTGCCAGTTCTGGACGTGCGGTAGCCCTGCTGTCACCACTTTTCCCTGGGGCCCTATATCCTGATCCAAAAGGGAACCCCTTGAGGGCGGGGCCCTGTGGGACAAGTCTGTGATCTCCTCCCACCAGCTCAGGACAGTCACTCCCGGGAAGAAACCAAGCCCCCTCCAACCTCAGCCTCCCTACTGTTCCCTGTGCTCTTGTCCCAGGTATGCAGCTGAGTCACTCCGTGGCAAGCCGCCTCTCAGAGGCCCTCCTTGACCACCCTTTATGGAGCAGCACCCCTCCCTGCTGCACCCCCCTCGGTCCCTGCCCTTAGTTTCTTTTCGTTCCCTTCAAGGCACTGTCACCGCCGGCCGTTTTAAGCATTTATCAGGTGGCCCATCCTCTCCCCCAAGACACAAGCTCCTTGGGGGCAGGGACACGTCTCTGTGTGCCACTGTGTCCCCCTCACCTAGAATTGTGCCAGGAACCTAGCAGGTGCTCAATAGGGATTTTTAAAAATAAATGAACGAACGCAGTAACAGAGAAATGGTGCATCTGAGGTCACGTACCAAAGCCACGCACATATAACGTGTGCTTTTTTTTTTTTTTGAGTTGGAGTCTCACTCTGTCACTCAGACTGGAGTGCAGTGGCCACTCCCGGCCACCTCAGCCTCGACCTGCTGGGCTCCGGTGATCCTTCCGCCTCAGCCTTCCAAGTAGCTGGAACTACAGGTGCGTGCTACCACACCCGGCAAATTTTTGATTTATTGTAGAGATGAGGTCTCACCAAGTTGCCCAGGCGGGTCTCGAACCCGTGGGCTCAGGCCATCCACTCACCTCGGCCTCCCAAAGCGCTGGGATTACAAGCTGAGCCACCGAGCCCGGCCATGTGTGCTTATTATGTGCTGATACAGACACAGGCGCCAACTCAGTCTCTGGAAACAGTTTCCCATAAAGGGGAAGCTCTGAGTCACAGGGACCCAACCCCCACGTCAGACACATCCTACCGTTCCTGATGCAGCCCACAGGGGGGCGGGAGGCTCATTCCCTCCGCAGGCCAGCCCACCCAGGCCCGCCCGCGGCACACCCACCCTGGCGCACCTTGCACTGCAGGTAGGCGGTCTGCGGCCTGCCAGCGTCGTCCGTGTAGATGACCTGCATGACGTTCGAGCTCCCGAAGCTCTTCTCCTCCACCTTCTCTGCCGCCCGGACACTGGCTAGCTTGAGGAGGGCGCTTTTCTGGGGCGGGCGGGGAAAGGGAGGCTCAGCAGGGCCCCCCCACGCCCCGATTCTGAGCCTGGGTCTCCCCTTCCGTGGCACCAGGCGTGGACATGGGGGACCCAGAGTGCCCTCCCCCAGAAGCCTGCTCTGCCGGTGGCCTCAGCCAGGGCAGAGCACAGACCGATGGTGGCCAAGTGCCCAGCAACCATGAGGGGGGAGCCTGGCATCTCTGGGGCTCCCGGTAGGTCTGAGGGGTCTTGCCCTGGAGTGACGCCCAGCATGCCCTGGGCTACCGAGTCACGCCGACCCCAAACAAGACCCTGCACCTTTCCGGCGCGCTATTGCTCCCCAGACTCTGAAGGCCCTCCCTCCCCATTCCCACCATTTCTGGGTCTGATGAGAAGCCCTGGATCTAAAGTGGGCATAGCCCTGAGAGACCCCAACCTGCTAACGCTGAATCTAGGTTCCTAGCCTCCAGATCCCATTCTCTTCGCCCTGGGAACGCTCGCCTGTCAGGCCTCACCCAGGCCATCGTCCAAATGATAGACCCGCACGGCCCTCGGGACAACGCACACCCTTCCGGCCTGGCATCCAGGCCCACTGCCCCCGCTGGCCTCAGGGACAAGAGGCAGTGCCACCTCTTGGGAGGAACGGGGACATGCGTGGGCTGCCTTGGGGTGGGGTCTCCCAGATGACAGAAGAGGAAGTAGGACCCCTGCCTGGCCCAGAGGATCTGCTGCTCAGGCCGGGGTGAGTCTGCGAGAGAGGAGGCAGGAAGGAGGCCGCGGGGCGGGATGCATGGCGTGCCATGGAAGCTCAGTAACAAGGAACACCAGGTGGTCCAGACTCGGGATGAGAGGGCCCGCCAGGTAATCAGGCTTTGGTGAGGCTGCAGAAATGGCCGCAGGGCCCTGAGGCTGGGCAGCTGCCCGGAGCTCAAGCGCCTGAAGAGTCCCAGCTGGGCCCTGAGAAGACCGGCTTCAGCACGGGCAGACTGAGAAGGGTGCTGCCAGCAGCGGTGAGCAGGACAAACGCCCTGCACAGGACAAGGGACCGGAAAAGAGCGCCCAGTAGGAGGAAAGCCGCGTTGACAGCAAGAGGCCATCACAAGCCGGGCTCAGTGGCTCGGCCTGTAATCCCGCGCCTTTGGGAGGCTGAGATGAGTGGGCTGCCTGAGCCCGCGGGTTCGAGACCCACCTGGTCAGCGAGACCTCATCTCTACAATAAATCAAAAAATCAGCCGGGCGTGGTAGCGCACGCCTGTAATTCCGG